AATGCGCAGGAGGAAGTGGAGAAAGTGATTGAGAGGAGAAAGTTTTTCTTGGCTCCTAGGACTCTAAGACATATCTAATAAAATTCCTGAAAAGTATGACTTTCTGAATAATACCTGCCAGAAGAGGAAAAAAGCAGCTGTTTGAAGGTGCTGAAAGGATAGCTTTCCCTCTTTTCCTATGGAATAAATAACTGGATATTAAGAAACCTATTTCTTTTAGGTGAAAATTGGTTTTAAGCGATGAGTGGGAAGAGAGAGGATTAAAAAGAAAACATTTGTATGCTAAGACTTTGTTGGAGCAGATGCCTTAAGGATTTGAAGACTAGAATATATTGCAATAAGATTTTAAACAGATTTGGACTTTCTTTCTCTCGGATTGATATTACCCCAGAAGGAGAAAGTGAGAACTCTGCCTTGGTTTGGACTGACTGATAACTTTGGGACTGTTTTATTTTTTTTATTTTCTTTTGAATATTCTGGTTGTTGTAAGAAGAAAGAAGGGGAAAAGAAAAGAAAAGATTTATAATGGCTCTTTCTGTTGAGGAACTAAGAAAAGAATATGAACAAGCAAAAAAAATGGTAAAGATGGGGTGGAAGAAGCTTTCCTTTTCTTAGAAATGGCGCTTATTAATTATCAACAAACATTACAACAGATGAAGACAGCAGAGGAACAAGAAAGAAAGAAAGGAGCCATTTTTAATGAATCTCAGAACTTGATCCAGAAAGAAGGAAGAGAGAAAGAAAAGAAAAGAAGAGAAAAGAAGAAAATTAAAGGACTTAAGGACTTAAGATCTAAAAAAACATTTAAGAAAGGGAAAAATAAGGTGCAAAATCAATATGATGATAGTAAACAAAAGGGAAAAGGAATACGACAGAGAAGGGAAGCTGGCAAGGCAGAGGCTAGAAGAAGGGGGGGTAGAAAGGTTTGTTGGGAGAAGAAAGAAAGGGAAAAGGTGGAGAAAAGCTACAATGTTTTGAAATTAAATGAAAAAAAGAAATTTTTTTTTTTTTTTTAAAACAAGTTTTATTAAAAGTTTCAACAACAAACAAATCATTACATACCAAATCTTTCCCTGTCTTTCTACAACAACTTCCCCAATATTCTCATAAAACACAAACAAACACAAACAAACACAAAAAAAATCTTTTAGTAAAGTACCTTGGCCCCAGTTACCTCTCTTTGCATGGGCTAAAATAATAGCACATATCACTCTTCACATTTCTATCTTATTTAATCCATCTTAATTAAATCATTAAATTTGTATCTTTTGCCCATTCATTTATCCCTCTATCTCTTCTTATAATAAAAAAAAATTTCTCCTGAAATCACTAATCAGAGTATAATGCCTTTCTATCCTCCCCCTAAGTTAGTAAAATTAACATTCAGCATAACAAATACCCAATTTGGTTCTGCTTGGTACATTCTATCCACCAAAAATGTTTAAATACATTGTATCCTCCTTTCCTTCGATATTTTATTACATTTTAAGAATCAATCATTATTAAAAACTTCAACATTTTAATTTCTTATTAAATCTTAAACCATTCTAATTTACTATTTCAAATATAAATGTTACAATACCATCTTCTGTACCTTAGCAGAATCTTTCTTACAGAAAATTATATTTCATCCTTTGTCTCTAAAAAAAATCCCTCTTCTCCCATCCAATTTTAAAGCTTTGAGGCTTTTCTCCGCCTTTCCCCTTTCTTTCTTCCCCCACCAAATCTTCCTACCCCCCCTTCTTCTTCTAACCTCTGCCTTGCTGGGATCCCTTCTCTGTTGTGTTCCCTTTTTCTCTTGTTTGTTATCATTATATTTACTTTGCATCATATTTTTCTCTTTCTCAAATGTTTTTTTAGATCTTAAGTCCTTCATTTTCCTTGCTCTCTTCCTTCCTTCTTCCTTAAATAAGTTTTGGGATTCAATGAAGATGGCGTCTTCGTCTCTTCCTTGTTGTTCTTCTTCCGTTTCCATCTGTTCCATTGTCTGTTGGTAATTGACCAGCACCATTTCTAGAAATAGAAAAGCTTTTTCCATGCCATCTTTGCAGGCTGCTTTTGTTTGCTCATATTCATCCCTCAGGTCTTCAAAAAGGAAAGCCATTATAAATAAATCTTTTCTTTTCTTTATTCCTCTTTCTTCTTACACCAACCAAATATTCCGAGAGAAAGGCAAAAACAATCCCAAAATCCACAATCCTCAATAAATCCAAGCAAGCCAAAATTCCCCCTTCCTCTTCCAGGGGTGGTATCAAACAAATAAAAAAAAAGAATCCAAGTCTATATCTTAAAGCCTTATTAAGATTGTATTTCTGTCCTCAAGTCTTCAAGGCATCTCCTCCAACAAGATCCAAATTTATATATTTTCTTTATCCTCTCCCTTCCGGCTTAATTCCGTCGGGAGGGAGAGTAAACTTTCCCTTCAGCACCTCAAAATAGCCGCTTTTTTTTCTCTTGTGGAAGAAATCATCAGAAAACCATCTTTTCCAGGAATTAAATTAGATAAATCTCAAAGCCCTGGGTCGACCAAGAAGAACTTTCACTTTCAATAACTTTCTCTTCTTCCTCCTGCGCATACTTGCCCGGCTGTCAACTTCTTTGTGGCGGCCATTGCGGACCGCCGCTGCACCGTCCTGGTAACAGGGGGTTCTGCCGGCCAGGGAGGGGGTCTGCAACACCCCCAAACCCTTCCTCCGGATCCCCCTTACCTTCAGCTACCCCTGCAGGGCAGCCTTGCTCCGCACCCGTCCGGGTCGGAGCCCCAAAACGGCTAGCGCGGCAGGGATCGCGCAGCTTCGCGAATCCCTACCGCTCGCGAAGCCGACAAACCGGAAACTCAAAAAGAAATTTTTTTTGGATAATGGATAAAGTATAATTTTTTTAAAAAAAAAAAAATTTTGCAAGGTACATAAGATGAGATGGTAGTATTGTAATGATTTAAGAGTTGATAAGAGATTAAAATGTTAAAATGTTTAAAAATGATTGGCTTTAAAACTTAATAATAGGGGAGGTTTAGAATATTGTTTTAATTAAAGAGTTTAATAAGACTATGGTATTGATGTTATTATAAAATTTTTATTATAGTATCTTTTTTTAATATTTAGATTTATTGTCTAATTATGTACTTAATTATGTTGGATGTATTAGTTAGATAGAATGTACCAAGCAAAATCGGATTGGGTATTAGATATTATTTTAAAGATTAATTTGATTAACTTAGGGGGGAGATAGAAAGGCATCATACTCTGATTAATGATTTCAGGAGAAACTTATTTTCTTTTTTTTTATAAGGAATGAGACAAAGGGATGATAAAAAATGGACAAAAGATATAAATATAATGATTCAAATTAAGATGATTAATTAAGATAGAAGTAAGAAGTGTGAAATATGTGGGGAAGTTAATATAGAAGGCTTAGAATGGTAAATAAAATAAGTAATGATATGTAAGATGAGCATGAATATAATTGAAGTCCATGAAGAGAGAGACACCTGGGTCCAAGTTACTTTCCAAAAAGATTTTTTTTATGTTTTGTGTGTTGTGTGTATATGTCTTTTTGGGGGGAGAATTAGTTAAAAATTGTAGAAATATAGATTGAGAATAATGGTAACTAAGTCAGAAAGAAACAGATGAAATAATAATAATGATATTGAATAAGAGTAAAGAGAAGTAAAGAGAAATTGAATAAGAGGTTTTGGTATGTTGTATGGAAATGGTTTAAAACAGAATTATAATTTATCTGACTTGTTAAATTGACAATGAAAAAAGGTTTAAACATGTAATGAATAATGACAATTTGTGTGTTTTAAAAATTAATAAAACTTGTTTTATAAAAAAACATCCTATTTCATGTTAAGGATACTGGTTGGTGACTATTTTCTCATCTGTTGATGGTGTTTTGTGAGTGAGGAGAGAAACAAAGTTGGAGAATTCATCAACTTAATACATTTGCAAATAAGGTGCACTGCAAATAAGTTGAGCAATATGGCAGAATAGGGATTGCTGATGAAATAAATAAATGTTCTGCTGATATAATTTTCTGCCTGGAAAAGGATAGGTGGGTGGCAGTTAAAGATTCAGCCATGAGGAAAAGCCCAATGTCTCTTTTAAACATTCTAATAGAAACATCAAACTTGGGCTCAAGGGGAGATTTAAAAGAGGATTATCTCACTGCTGAAGTATGAACAACATTGCAATAGGACCAATCAATACTCATTACAAATACAGCATGTCCACAAAAAACATTGGTTGTTAAGTTAAAGGAAAACTACAAATAAAACATATACCAAATAGAGCCTCAAGGATGATGACTCACCTAAGGCAGAGTTTTCCCAATTGCACTCATGGCTGTTTTCCCACTTCTTCTTAGTATCAATAGTTGTGTAACTATTCATATACTGAGCTATAAATCTAGTCTCTTGGCTCAAGTTCTTTCCCTAAAATAGATAACTGCTTGTCCATCTCCTCCTTTCTCCACATCTGCAAATGGGATTAACTATGTTGGTTTGTCTTAGAGATGTAAGACACAGATACATCCAAAGCATGTATATGCATTCTAAGAATCATTATCATGCAAAGGCAACAAAGGACACTAGAGGATGGTGAGAAAATAATGCTCTATTTCACTCTACCTGGAGTTTGTTCCCATGACTGTGAGATACAGACCTCTAGGAAAGCAATTGTGCTATCAAGTAGATGTTAGAGGACACCCTTACAAACCAGTCTGCTTGATTTCTTCAAGCAGAAGATAAGAGCCATGCTAGACTAGACCAAAAGCCTCATAGTCTACCTTCTATTCTCCCACTGTTAAAACAGATGTTTTTGGGAAGCCCCCAAGCAGGACATGAGATCAGTAGTATGGCAAACTGACAATTTTCTGCTCAGCTTAGTTTGGAATCATTCTGTGGCCCTCTTGGCCAGCATTCAGCTGAAGCTTTACTAAAGTGGCCCAGAGTTTTCTTCACACAAATGACATTCTGACCTATTCTTTTCATTGGCCAGCGCTCTCCCTCAGGAGTTTGGCAGAGCAAGAGAGAACGAATGAATGACACTAACCACAGAGCCAGCCACCATTACGACATGCTGGGATTGCACCAAGGTCATCAGTAAAGATAAGCCTCCTGTTGGAAAACAAGGAACTACTGAAAAAGCAACTTTTGAGATTTTTCATCTGAAGTCTGGGCCAGTGATGTTATGCAGAACAGGAAGTTATTGCCAAAGTAACCAAATCTCCAGCTTGTTTCCTCCAGCTTTGCTGTGCTAATGTTTTCTTAAGACCTCTATATGTACAGACAACATCAACTTTTCCCATGTAGAGGGGTGCACACATGATGTTGTGGAATTTCAGTGCTGCAAGCAAACAGTGCCTCCATTAAATGCAAGGGGAGGGAGATGAGACACTAGTTTTGCAACTGGAGCAAATACAAGGTTTAGTGGAATTCTTGGTGGTCTCTGAGCTTGATTTTTTTTTTTTTTTTTGTAGTCGTTTCATTACTCAAGTTCATTAACAAAATGTCTGCCAAAAAAACCCAGCCAAGCTCAGAAAACACCAAGGACTTCACAGTTCAACCCTGAGCTACATTTATTCTCATCTATCATAAGGTTTTGTCAGGGGTGGGATTCTATCAGTTCGCACCTATTCACTAGAACCAGTTGTTAACATTCTAAGCAGTTTGGAGAATGGGTTGTTAGAACAAAATTACTGGCCTAATCCTGTAAGGAAGGCAAGAAGGAAACATTCTGGTGTTGCTTACAGAAACTGTCTCTCCGTTAACCCTTATTACATTCTTGGCAGAACTAGACTTCCTGTCTCAGGAACTTCTCTGGAGTTTTTTTTTCCTCCTTCGTTGGTACTTTGCTTGTGTGGAGTGACCATTCAAAGTTACAATGGCACTGAAAAAAGTGACTTGTGACCATTTTTCACACTTACAACTGTTGCAGCATCCCCACAGCCATGGGAGACCAGGGGAGGAGATGTGTGCCTCGATGTGAGTGATATTGAGTTGGCCATACCCAGCCAATAACATGACCACCAAGCCATGTCCACCCATTCACATGACCACCAAGCCACGCCCACCACCTAAGCCACACCCACAGAACCGGTTGTTAAAAAATTTGAATCCCACCCCTGGGTTTTGTCTTGTGCGGGCTCTTCTAAGCATTATTATGTATCAATCTCTCTTTTCACTACTTTAGGTTGCAGTGGCAACTACCCCATTCCTTCGTGATCATTTAACTTTACTGCAGGAAAAAAGCCAAATTTCTGCAAAGGCATCATGTAATCATTTTGGTTTGTGTGGATATTTTTCATGGAATCTCCCCACCAATCTATCACCATTTACTTTCCCTCTATTAACCCAAGTCACTTGTGAAATTGGATAGCCTTTCCATTAAATTAAATATTGTAACTTTCCCCTGAAAATCCTAGAATCCAAAATATTCCATAGTGCTTATTGTGATAGATGTCATTTTTTTTATAAACACAAGTTTGGTGCTCTTCTGGAAGACCAACACATAATATGATCCACAATAGGAAGATATGCACAGCCATTTTTACCTATCATGTTACTGTTGTAGAATAGGGATCAGTACTGAGATAGCACAATTTAGAACTGTTTTAAAACTAGTGAGTAACACTTTGGCACAGCAGTCTGGAAGAGCCCAGAGAATGTTCAGAACCACAAGAAAGCTAAGAAAATGTGAATGTATGTGACTCCTGACAGAGAAACACTTTGCAGGAAACAGATTCTAAGCAAAGAAGAAGCATATTTCTGGCACTAAATAAAAACACGATCAATTTTCCAGTATTACTACAGTAAATGGTATTAAATTTATTCCTAAAATGGAGGAAAAATAAGTTTGCAATGATGATTTTTAAATTGTCAAACATTGTTTTATATCTATATGCAATCACCTCCTCTTTCAATATACATATGGACAAACTGTAGATTTCTGGATGGTTTTTTTTTTTTTACATGAATTCCCAACACTTCTATTCAGTAATTGTGCATTATGTGGTTGATGGCACTCAGGGCTTCTTGTAACCCAGAAAACCCAGGAGATCCTGAAAAATAGAGATAATGGATTGTTTGTTATCTAGAATTTTAGACAGAACATGAGCCAAATGAGTTGTTGTGGGGAAAGGTCAATATTGTTTTAAGGGAATTGCAACTCACCAGTGGACCTTGTTTTGTGCACCAAATTTCAGAGAATTGTTTATTTTTGCTGCACTCATAACCCATTATGAAACATGGTAAGAAGTTCTTCACCTGAAGAGGCCATGGTTGGTTCACATACTGAAGTGTGCAGGCTCAGTTCTTAATTTTTTCCAGAAGCAATGTGAACAAACTTACATTGACAATTTTCCTGTACAATGAAATGGATATGAATATACAAAACCATGATATTAAACAATTGTGCAAAAGAAGCAAAGGATTCTGACACTTGGAAACAGTTTTTGATGACAACAGTCCTGTTTCTGACTTTAAATGTTTAACAGTGGAGAATCAAGATTCATGTTTATTTTCCTTCACTTTTATCCCCATCTTCATCTCTCCAGAGGCTGGTATAAAAACTGGAGATTTGTCACTGTCCAGTTCTGCCATTTTTATCAACACAATACATTCAATACATTTTCTGTATCAAATATCGAAAATGAGATTACTTGTGACAATATTTTCCCACCCTCTGACTATTCACAGATGAGGAAGGCAGTCATTGGCAGAAACATGCAGCCTGCAAAATGACCTATTCCACACAAAAAGAAATCTGCATAAAAATATCCACACGTATGAGTTGAAACAAACCTATATGGCGTTCAGGATGGGGTGGAGGGGAGGGGAGAGAAGGAATTGTCTATTATAGGGAGATTAAATGAAATACCAGGCATGGCTGTGATTTCATTCCTTTTTCACTCTAATAGAGGACATCTGTCTTTATTTTTTAGCTTCTTTCCCAGAATCCCCCCAACATTGTGGCAGATTGGGAAATTACCTGCTGTCTGGGCTGTCCCATTTCTAGTTCATAATCTAGGCTTGTCCAAGCACAACTCTGCAGAGCTAAATTTGAGCTTTGGTACTAATGCAAACCCCTACAACAGTGGTAGCTAACCTTTTTCATCTCCCATTTCAAAAATTGCATGCGTGCTCATATGCGCATGCTTGAGTGCCAGCACCCAGAAGGCAATTCATGCGGAGGGGCCCCATGCCCCCTGTGCATACACACGTGACCCCCCTGTGCACCCTGTGCATCTCCCATGCACCCTGTGCATGCGTACCAGATACCCAACAATCAGCTGTTGGGTGGGTGGTGTGCGCGCATGCGCAGTGGGGCACTTCTGGGCGACCTCTCGCGTGCTGGCAGAAGTGGCTCTGCATGCCATTTCTGGCACGCATCAGGGGTGGGATTCTACCAGTTCACACCTATTCGCTACAACCGGTTGTTAACATTCTAAGCAGTTCAGAGAACCGGTTGTTAGAAGAAATTATTAGCCTAATCCTGTAAGGAAGGCAGGAAGGAAACATTCTGGTGTTGCTTACAGAAACTGTCTCTCCGTTAACCCTTATTACATTCTTGGCAGGACTAGACTTCCGGTTTCAGGAACTTATCTGGAGGTTTTTTTCCCTCCTTTGCTGGTACTTTGCTTGTATGGAGTGACCATTCAAAGTTACAATGACACTGAAAAAAGTGACTTATGACCATTTTTCACACTTACGACTGTTGCAGCATCCCCACAGTCACAAGAGGCCAGGCAAAGAGATGCATGCCTCGATGTGAGTGATATTGAGTTGGCCATGCCCAGCCAATAACATGACCACAAAGCCACGTCCACCCAGTCACATGACCACCAAGCCATGCCCACCAACTACACCATGCCCACAGAACCGGTTGTTTAAAAATGTGAATCCCACCCCTGGCACGCATGCCATAGGTTCGCCATCACGGCCCTATGATAACTATAAAAGGTAAAGGAAGATTATCCCCTTTTACACATTTAAGTAGCAAGAATTTCCTTAGGTATATGGTATATTTCTAATTTTTGCTCCCTCTACAATGAGTTTGCAACTTGCAATCATATAGGATTTTGTAGCATTTAGATTAATACATGTAGAGGCAGGCTGAGCCTACGTGGAGGTACATCATTAACCACTCTTAACAAAGGTCCTGAAATTCATTGTTCCCACATCCTCAAATATTTTCAACAGCTCCTAAAAAAACAGACCTTGGATCTTTTTTTTTCACTAAATCATTGCTATCTATACTTTAGCAAGCAAACAAGGTTAATGGTTTTATATCTTGAGAGACAAAAAGGGAAAGAAAGACACAGAGATGAGGAGAGAAAACATTTCTCCCAATGACTCATTTTTATAAGAATTTTTTGCCATTTGCAAACTCCCTAAGCCGTCTATTGTGATCAGCTGTTTATCAAAAGAGGTATTTGGAGATAGTGAGACTTCCCAATTTGGGATAGGATTGACCAAATTATTGTAACCTTTTAAGCAGCCAATTCCTTTAAGTTAGAAGGCTTGAAGTTCCCTTGGCTTGAGGACTATATTACAGTGGTAGGTTTTTTTTTTAAGTTTTTCTTTTTTGTTGTTATTTAATCATTAATGTTGTTGTTTTGCAGTATGTCAATAGTTAAGTCATAAGGTGCGTGAGGCCAGGTCCATCTGTGGGAAATTTGTAGGATTTTAAGAAGTAAATTTTTCATTGAATCCCAAAACTAAAAACAAATGCAAAAAAAAAATAGCTGAAAAAAAGACTCTGAAAAAAATGCCCCCACACTTTCTAGAAGGGGCTATTCCACATCTCTAATTTAAGATTATTTAGAATCAGAGCATAGGAAGGAATATCAAGATTTTTCCACATTCTAGTTGAGAAATCACACTTTGTATCTCCATATTGTGCCCTCACTTGGATCTCTTATTCTATCTAAGGTTGCATGTCTTTGGAGATTCTCAGTCATCTAGGTCATAGTTGTCCCAAAAATGCTTTTTTTTCAAAACCAGAAAGTCCAGTTACCTCTTGAAAAAAGCATCTTTTAGGGTTGTAGTTCAATTCAATATACCTGGGAGGCAAATTATGGTGACAAGTGAGGTTTTGTCCAATGTTTCCAACTACTGAACGTATACTAAAGGTACTTTTTATAAAACAACTGGACTTTCTTTTTTTTTTCTTGAAAACATTTTGCTTCTCATCCAAGAAGCTTCTTCAGTTCTGAAGAACTGAAGAAGAATTGAAGAAGAACTGAAGAAGCTGAAGAAGCTTCTTGGATGAGAAGCAAAACATTTTCAAGGAGGAAAAAAAGAAAGCCCATTGCCTTCTGAAAAACACCATTGGGATAATCATGATCTGGATGATTGAGAATTTCCATAAACATACTGGACTTGTAATAGCTCAGTATGAATTTGAACATAGAATTCCCTTCTGGTCTGCACAAAGCTCCCACAAAACTCTCAAATTGAGAGAAAATAGAAAATCTAATTTTCCAATATAATTTTTCTACTCAAGGCAAGACTACTTGGGAAAGATACTTTTTTCTGCCAACTGTAGAGCAATTATAATGTCTGACACTGATTGGTTCAAAAGAAATCAAACACTAAAGTCAAAGAACTCACTGATGCAACTACTGCTATTTTCCACTAGATGGCACTATTTACACAATATGAACCCAAATGCTGACTGGAATTTCTGGCTAGATGTAAAGAACTAAAGCAGGGGTCGCCAACCTTTTGGACCTCAGGGACCATCAAACTCATAATTTTAAATCCCGCAGACCACTAATATTAATTTTTGACCGACGGTGGCTTGCTGACGTTGGTGGGAAAGTCGGTCCCATATTCCAGAGCTGTAGTAGTCACAGGACTGGCCCTTTGGTCATCCCAGAACAGCTGCTCCTCCACCCGGGTGCACCGGCCTGCCATGGACTGGAGGAGCTGCTCCGGGATGACCAAAAGGCCAGTCTTGTGACTACTGCAGCTCTGGCATGTGGGACCTACTTTCCCACAAACATCAGAAAGCCACCCCAGGTTGGATTTTCCTCCCCCGCCATTGGCCTTACCTTCCAGTTCCAGCTTGCATGGCTTTACTCAAGGTAAGGTTTGTGATCGGCTGAAGGGTGGGGGCCAGTAGATGGGTGGCCCATGTGGGTGGCACAGACTTGTGTTCCTGCGCAGCCTGGATTAATTGCTTTGGGGTGAGTGCTTTGGGTGCTTTTCTCTGCAGACTATCAAAATTTTCTCACGGCCCACCAGTGGTCCCCGGCCCACCAGTTGGTGAATATTGAACTAAAGGACTGCCTAAAGCACCCTCCATTTCACATAGTGCCACTGCTAAATCAGGGAGATGTGGTGACAAGCATAGATTTATAAGAATCTTTGGCCATTTGCAAACTTTTAGGTTTGACATAAACTGACATAAACTGAAGGCAGCAGAAGATTGATAGCATCTCAGCATGGTAGGAAAATAGATGCCGAAAGAAAGAATGGCTGGAATCTGTCTTTGCTACCCCCAAAACTATCTGGGGCTATTTTATACATCACTGTACATCACTCACTGACTACCAGGATCCAATAGAAATAGCCATCATAGCCTTTTGATAGCAAGCTATCAGCACTGTGAGATAGATGGTCTTTATCAATAAGGTCTATATTCAAATTCTTTGCTCAACCATGAAGCTGTCTGAGTAATTTGGGGATGTTCATTATCAGCAAAATGTATCCTTCGGAGTTAAGGGGAGAGTAAAATGTAGAAGTAAACAATTAATGTGACACTTTTAGAAAATAAAGAACTCAACATAAATGGAAATAATACTCATATTATCTCATATGTTATAGTCGTTTCAAAGTGAACCTGCTTCAGATCTTTCTCAGCCATGGGCTCAAACCAATTATGTTTTTCTCAAAATATTTTATTTATTCATTCATTAAATTTGTTTGCTGCCCATCTCACCATGAGATAACTCTGGAAGGGTCACAATGTTAAAAAGAACAAAGTGATACAAAAACATGCATATAATAAAAATAAAATGCTATAAAAATGCAAATTAGCAACTATAATTAAAAGATGGGGAGGGAAGGAGAAGGATGAGCAGAAAAGACTCTTCTCCTGGACTCCACTGTCCCAAATTCCATGGCTCGCATCATGCTTCCTCTGCTAACATGGGTTGAGCAGGGCAATCCCAGTGGGATGAGATGATTCCTCAAGTAAACTGGACTCATGAAGGCCTTTAAATGTTATGACCTACCTTGAATTGTACCCAGAAGAAAACTAGCAGCCAGTGCAGCTCCCAAAACAGAGTATGACATGGGCTATTCTATTCTTGCTTTCTCCCATCAATCAGCCTACCTATTCAGGATCTGAACGAG